CCTCCTGCCATGCAAAGCCCAAAATGGAAAACGAACAAAACCCAACCTTGCTGCAACCACATCTAATGCAGCAACAGGAGGCAGAGACTGCTTCTAGCACCCAGCTGCTACTTTGGGTTTTTCACCCTCACTGCAACAACATCAAGCGATAATGTCTCACGCACAGAGTTGCATCCTCTACAACTTTTCCAGCATGCCACAGTTTCAAGACACTTCTTTACAGTACATGAAAAGAAGATGTATTTCCTCCCCACATCACACTACTGACAGTAGCGCAGTAACTGATTTACTATGCTGAGTTTAATAAGAAACTTTATAAATCATTGTGCAACTGCAATGAACTTCTCATTCTAACTTATTACACAAGACCGGTTTGTTATTCAAGAAAAGAACATGACTTAACAATTACTTATTGCTCTGTAAACCTTTAGGAATTATGACCATTCCTTCTTTCACTTATCTCAGCCACCTGAGATGATAAAACATCACAAAAAGTGTGCATGAGAGACTGTAAAACACAAATCCTTACTCAGTCAACAGACAGTTTTCACCATCCTACTAAGACTAACCAAAGTTTGGCTAGAGGAAAGGCTGCAGGACGCGGAGAGCCAATGGAACAACCAGCAGAGCACGTCCTGCGCACAGCTTACACAACACGCTTCTCTTTCAAAAGCACTAGTATTTAAGGGTTTTCCCTCCTTCAGTTGCAGATACTAAAATCAGTCCGCGGGAACACAAAATACAACAATGCTCTAGTTATAAACGAGCGACATCAGCCTGCTGCACATTTGTACTGTTTTGAAAGGCCAGGCTGGAAGCAAGAATCATCCCATATGACAGTGAACTCCAAACATTTCAGTTCGCTAAGCTACTGTGCTACTACTCTGACTAAAGCATAACCTTCTGAAAAAAACCATCCTGTCTTGATGCTCCGACACCAAAAAATGAAGAACACACCAATTGCAACAGCAGTTTCAACAATTCACTGTTAAATTGTGTTTCTCCTTCCTATTTAAAACAAATTCAGCTTTCAATCAATAATTCTTGTTTTGCCTTTCTTGATAGAAAAAAAGTCTTGTATTTTTCTTTCTATGAAATTAAAATACAATAAATAACTTTACTATTTGTTTCAATAAACTAGGTACTAAACTCCAAGTCTTTCATGATTCTTTTCAGTCCTTAAGTTGTTTTTGTGCATCTTGTCCAAACAGTTCATGCACCCTTTTTAAACTGGGAGGATTTCTTTCTTGGATGCCAGTTCTCAATTTTGCAGGAAGGGTCTGTTTTTCTTCCTCCTCCTTTATATATGGCTTTATATTTAGCCATATTAAAACAGAAGTTTGATTAAACAGTTCACCTTATTAGGCAGTCCTGCAAGCTCTGCATGACCATCCCAGCTTTGTCAATATCTGCTGCTCCAGATTTTTTTAAATGTAATTCTAATAAAATTATAGTAATATCTACCTCATTTACTATCACAGATCAGTTATTTTTGTCAGGATTAAAAAAAAAATTGCTATCTTGCTACTAAATATAGTGAGTTAAACTTCTGTTGTGCTTGCGTTTTGCCAGACTCTGACTACTAGCATTAACGATGGTAAGCCAGCAATTCTCATTCAGAAAAAAACATTGTTGCACCAATCAATACAATTCTCAAAAGAAAAGAGCCTTTTCACCAACGTAAACAGATTTCATAGCCGAGACGTGGTCTCAATCTTTCTGTTAGCACACAGAAAAAAAAAAAACTTGAAAATCAGTTTGTCAGGTCTGCCTTAGATTCCACAAAAGCATTTGATTGCAGGGGAGTATAAATTGTGTTTGGAAACTCAATGGAAAATAAATACATTCGCAAGAATAGCATCAACTACACTTGGAAGCAACAAAATCTGGCAACCAAATACAGCAACTGCACAAGAGAGAACAACAACTAACAGGTCATATATAGCTGATCAAAAATCACTCCTAGTTTGATGGCCAAGATGTCACGGGGTGGAGTTAAGGCCCAAACTTTCCCT